TTTGCAGCAATGAAGCACGTCTTCAATATTAGTACAGTAAAAATTAATTAGGATTAAGACCACTAGATATAAGAATGGCAAAACACACTGTTAGAGAATTCGAAAATTATCCTTCAAAGCAGGATCCACATCCTCACACATTGCTCAAGCTTTGTCAAAACTAGATAAAATGTTTCGAATGTGACTTTACAATCTGCAGGGCTGAGATCAGTCTTATGTTTAAAACATTAGTGTACCTTTAAGGGAGAATCGCTCGACTGAGCAGGCAATTTAAGAATCCATCATTTCTCGTTAAGCTATTTTAGATTTCAATCAGGCGATATTGGTTGGTCCCAAACATTTTGTTATTTTTAAGTGACAACCCTGCAAAATTTCGTCTCCCTAACATACACAGAAGGATGACGACAGGCAGGGTCTGCAGCCAGTTAGTAAATAAATCATTTTTAATTGTCATGTGTAAGTAAGAGTGACTGCACAATATCTGAGCACCGACAGAGCTCTGTGTTATTTTCTTGCAGGGGGATTGAGAGAGAGATTATATGATGTCAGTAGAAAAGTGGCTCTTAACTGCAGGCTGCACAGACAATGATATTAATATTTCAGCCCCAAGCAGAAAGTAGAAAGAATTAAAAAAAAAACATCCAAACTCTACGTGTATTATCTGACCTTTTCACCTCAACCTTTTTCACTGCTTCAAACAGGACGGGACCCAGTGGAGTCCAGACTACTGAGAGACTCCTGTAATCTTCAAAGGAAAATTGATTGTCCATTGACACTGGGCTTTTTGCTTGGAGCATGACCACCACCATCGGCTTTGTGTCAAGCATTCCAAATTCGGAGTCAAACAAGAAATTAACATATAAAAAAACAACAAAGAGTGACATTTTTGACAGATGGGGACTGAAGTGAGTTTTCAACACAAAATCACTGCATTAAAGGTGGAATGTCAGTGTTGCAGAACATATGGAACACGAGTGTGGTGAGACTGGAAGGAGCATTAGAGACCTTTCAATAGCACCTCTGAGTCACACTAACCTAACAAGACAGTGGAAGAAATAAGAACCAAACCAAACTGTCATTAACAATCGCAGGAAAACACACAAAGGACAGACAGCACATGCTTAGGTATACTCACATCTAATTGCGAAAACTCACAAACCGCACAAATATACTAGTAAACAATGTTTTTTTTTTCTTTTTCTCAGAGGAATCAATGCACATTGCAAAGGGAGAATGTATCCTCCAACAGCCATGTCATACAGCCTCTGGGACAGAGCCTTTGAGCGCAGCTAGATTAAGACGATCACAAGCAGGAAGGGGGGCTCGTCCAACCTGCACCAAGGACCAGTGAGAAAGAAAGCAAGATTAAGGGTTTTAGTCCAGAGATCATCAAGCAGTATACCTGGAGGACTGCAGGTGTTCATGTAGATGTTCACACCTTCTGACTTACTAGTCTACAATTTCTTTTCTGGTTCTCTCACTGATTCTATCAAGCCTGCTTTCCTCTTGCATATACTGCATATACACTATAGTGGACTGTCCTTCCTATTTTTTAATTCTACAGTTAGAATGACTTCTTTTATATACAGTATACTCCAGACAAACAGAAGATACAGTATTCCCATCTCTGAACTTTAATTATGCAAATGCTGATAGATTAGTCAGTCTGAGTCTGTGATATGCCTGCAGAGAAAAAAAAAACCTTGGCACCAAGGGTTCTGTCACCAAACACACTTACAGACAACCTTGTGTTCAAACATAGCGTTCATTACGGATGATACTTGATCACAAGTCCAATTCACTGCGTAGGTTTAAATTATTTTTCTTAATCATTCGTTTTAAGATATCCCTTTGCCTTGTTACTTCTAATGCTACTTTCTATTACTCTTTAATGCTACTGTGAGCATTGAAGTCTCCCGTAAGAACTACAGAGTTTGCACAGTAGGTGTTACTCTATCGAGCATCGGTTTTCAGGAAGGTTGAGTACTCTGGATTAGTAACGATCCTGAGTGTCACTGCAGTTGGTAGTATTTGTTCTGGAATTTTCTCCTGGAAAAGAGTGGCTTACTCTCTCCAGGCGATCGAGGAACACCTGCCCCCAGTGGAGGTGTTACAGTATCTCTTGGTCTTGTTCCCAAGAGAGGGCAAATCGTAGGATTCACCAGAGGCTGCAGTAATGTGGTGGTGAAGTAGGAACCGAGTTTTCAGACCAAGCTGTCAGATTTCTGGTGATCTACACCCCTATCCTCATCCAACGCCATACGTTTCGGGTAGCGACTGGAAGAACGAGCTCGCAGGTACAAGAAGTGGAAGTGAGATTTCTGCGTAGGGCTGCTGGGCTCACTCTCCGTGACG